TTAATAGCCTTGTTTTCTATGTCCACTTTGGTCATTATCAGGGACACTCTAGAATGTTCATAACTTTTGTTCAAAATAAAGTAACCAACTTACCACGGGATATAAATGTTCTCACTGTCTGGCAAATTATTTAGTTTGGATAGCCAATCGTAAAAGTCTGAAAATGGCTTTTTTTGGTGATTTTAGGCATTTTAGGCCTATTTTTGACCTTTTTTGCGCGTTGTTTGCATTGCGTTAAACTTTAAGACCCATTACAAAACTTTATCAGGCAGTAGTTGACATCTTTGGGAAGCCTTTTACATAGTTTAGGAAATGAAATTCCGGATCGAACTCGAGTAGATTTCTTGTTTTGTGTTTTTTTCAACTTTTGAGAGGTTTTCACTTTACAATATAGCTCTAATCGCTTTGGCATACTTTTTTTCTGAAAATTTGGACAATTTCCAACAAAAAAGTTGCTGGGCACTTTTACTTTTGAATCATTCTACCCTGATCCAGGAATTATTTGAATATTTGTGATTTTTCATGAATTTCAAAAAAACCCTAAAATGGCCAACTTTGGGTCTCTGAAAAAGTGTCCCAGAAGGCCCCAATTTTTCTAAAATTTTTTTAGGACAAATCTGACATCAAATACAACAAGTTTTTCATACTTGCAGAAATAAAATTTTTTTGGCCATTCGATTTCACAGAAAATCGGCCATATCTATTAAAAGTCCTCTGTCTACCATAATTAAATCCACACCTCTTATCATTTTGTCCAAAGGCGAGAATATTTGAATATGGCTTTGTCAGAAACTCTACCTCCATAAGTTTTCCTGATATAAAATATCATTCCTGATGGAGTTACACCGATCATAAATATTATAGTATTTTTTCCTTTGTAGTTTGAATAAATGCGAAATCGACACTGCACACTTTTACTATTTTAGTGGTATCTCTAGAAAATCCAACACAATTCTAGTTGACTTATAATTTTTAAAACACTCATGCGTATTATGCAGGATCTCTTGTTTACTTGGCCACCTTATTAAACAATTTAGCACAATACAATGAAGTGCTTTTGACCGATCCAAAAGTATTCTAATTGTCTGTCTGTCAAACTGCCTCTTCTAATGGCTCGGATTCATGTTTCTTGGCGTTTTCTTGGATAACTGCTGCAACTCTTTTGAATTCCTATTATTTCGCACTTTCACTTTCGGAAAACGATAAAAGGATACATCAGGATCTTTTTGAGCATGGGACTTGCAACGTACTACCGCAAACGTCAAAACAATTTCCGTAATAGAACTAAAAAACACAAATTTTCAATAATTTTTTATTACTAAACGAAACAAGTATCGCGAAAACAGCTGATGGATCCATTAAGTTTAAGACCTCTAGTTTGTGGTAATATTTTTTTACACTTTGTGACGTGCGAGGGTCTAGGCAGCAGCCTGTGCTCGTCCTGCCGTCTAATTATTCATTTCGGAGGCTCCGGTTAGCCTAACTGGTCGTCTTACCTCAAAGGGGGTCGAGCCCTCCACCAAATGTGCCTCGAGCGTCGGCGATTGTGTGCTGAAAAGTCGGAAAGGTTCGCGAAATGACCACCAAAGGGAGTTAGTTTAAATCCAAATTAATCGTTTATTGTCTTACGTTAAGTTACTATTTATTCTATTAATTAAGAAAGATCGTCGAATTATTGCTCAAATGTAGATAAACGACAAAGGAAAGTCTGACAATTACTTTAGTGACGTCATAATACCATACGGGTTTCGTGCAATAAGGTCCAAGGGGAAAACGTCGAGTCATAATACAAGCTCGGTTCGTATCCCGATATCGTGCCGCGCACCTGCACTCGCGCGTCTCTGACTCGCTATGCGCGAAGCCTTATGTCGCGTGAGTTCGCTCGCGAAAGTCCAAGGGGACTCGCCGAGTCACAACACGTGCCCGGTTCGAATCCCGTTTTCGTGACGCGACCTTAATAACACGCGGACTTAACTTCACGTGGCTCGGCCTGCGACGGCTTCGCTGCTTTCGCGCAAGCGGATACGACGGACTGCGAAATGGCCGCTTACAAACTCGAAACGCTCGCGACGTAATTGCGACTTGTTCGCCTCGGACCAATCACACACACACGATGACAATTCTTCGACTCGACTTATTTACTACGCGACCGACTCTTCGCTCGTTCCACGTCATGCGACACACAGCACACTTACGCACACACACGACCGACCAAGATTAGGAAGTACAGATTAAACTCTTACAATCTCTTCGACTCGGTCCAACGACGTCATGCCGTTGTCCGCTCGCGGTACGCTGCAGACTTGTCCGAGTCCCTGTGTGGTGGATCGGCCGCCGCTCACTCGTCGGCTCGTGCTGCGACTCGGCTCGTGGATCGGCGCCGTGTCTCAATCGCTGAGTGGCCTCGTAATCCGCTCGTGGGGTTGGCGCCGTTCACGGTGGACTGTCCGTCCCGTCGTAGCCTCGCACTGCTGATTGGTCTCTGTTGCCACGCCGGTACTCGCACGCAGGCTACGCACTCCACAGGCACACACAGCACTTCGGGATGCAAGTCGCAATGCTCGTCGTCGTTGCGCACTCGGCCGACTTAACCTCGCTCGTACGCACACGACTTGGTTTCTGTTCCTCACGCACTCGCCTCGGACACAGCTTCTCTCTTCACGTCTTCACTCTCGTTCTCTCTTTCTCTACCACGCTACGCGACGATCACTCGTTTTCCGACTTCTTTGCTGCACTCAAAAACTCACTTATATAGCCTCGGACTTTGTGGTTCGCACTCGCACGATATGCAGTCGTCGTCGTAATGGCGTCGCTTCACGTGCCTTCTTCTTCCTCGCTTCGTCTTCCGTGCTGCTACCGCTGCTGCTGCCCGAGTTGCGGCTCGTCGCCGCGCCGCTCGTTCGGTCGGTAACCGTCGAGCACGTGCCTACGCTGCCGCGGCGCGCGGAGGTTATGAGCGCTCGGCTCTTCCTTCACCCTGCACGGTACGTTGGTCGGTCGCGCGTCACACGCATACACACAGCATTCTTGCGTAACGGCTCGCGCTCGTCGCCCGTAACATCGTTACAACTTACTCTAAACTAATTATGAGCAAACTAATAATGAGCTTTAACACATAATTTATATGGAAGCCCCGTTTGTTTTACCTTCAGGCAAATCAGCTGATCGCTGCAGACGATTAGTGACGGTCAATGAAAACAGCCTATGTGCGTAATGTTTTTACCACTTATGACGGTGCGTCTGCGTGCACTACGAACGACTGCTTTTTGCGTGCAGACGCACGTCACTGGCTTATTCGTCTCGGTGTGCTGGTCGGCTTTACCGCACGCGCGGAGCGCCAGACGACCGTGAGGTCGTCGCCGACGAGCGACACAATCACACTCACTTACTCGGTTACCTGGCCGGCTAGCCCAGGTACGCCGCAACTCGCTCATGGCAACGCGAGTTCGATGCCGAGCTAGGTCTGCTCGCACGCGCCGATGTGTCGCGCCTATTTCTGCGTCCCTGCCTATCTCGCGCCTAAGTCCTGACGAATCTACACGCGTTCGCGAGGCCAAGAGGCCGGTCGTGCCGAAGCACGGGTCACCTGAGCGCCTTGAGGCCGCGTCGCGCTGAACCCAAACGACGAGGTCAATCAGCACGTCCTCGTTAACACTCACACACTCACACACTCACACAGACTCGCACTTGCTAGTGCAATCGCTCGCAGACCCAAGCACCCGTCGAGGCTATCCGCTGGCACGTCTACGCGCCACGCGGATACACACGTATCACAACCGGTGCAGTGGTCTGCACTCAACACACGCACACACAACTACACGCAAATCCTACTCACCAAACAAATCTCTTTCTCTCATACACGATCGCACGAGGGAAGCTATATTCGTAGCTGAGGGCTTCAAATGGGCTGAGGTCCGATTGCTTGCACAATCGGTCGACTACTCTACTATCGCCCACAGACCCTTCTCCGCTACTCACTCGACTCACTCCGCGACTCCGCGGAAGGCCGCTCGCGCTTCCCCCTCTCTGTGGCATACAAGCGAGTCGCTCGCTTGGCCCGCAGACCGCCGGGCTCAAATGCGAGTATTCCTCCGTTTGTGAGCTCAACTCCGCATTGACTCAGCGCGTCATACGACCACCACGTCCCACACTCAAAGTCTCTTCTAAAAAATCGTTATTGTCGATTGCTTCATGCAAAAATAAAGATGTATAATTTTGAACCATGTTACTAGGTTGCATTATGTTATTAGATACTTGTTGAGATAATTGCTTTTGAAGAATAAAGTCGTTGCATTCGGTTAATTTGTGATTGCTAATAATATGTCCAAGTTTTAGATAATATATTAATTAGGTACTTTGACTAGGTAATTTGAAAAGATGATGAACCGTTTGACCCAAAGCAATATGTTTTGGAGATTCCAGTTTTTGTATTATGCACCAAATATTTATAAACACTTATTTGGCTTTGATTAATTTATCTTGCTGCTGATTCAATTTTTTTTATTGCAGAGAAGTGATTCAAAAAGCATTCCATGTCGTAGGTAACTCGAAAGTATTCAACAATTTATCAATTGTAACGCAACAGTTTAATTTGTGACGGGTTTCGAGCCACCCTAGGCGCTGAGCGTGAAACGGTGTTTGAAAAATTGATGTAATTATAAATTGTACAGGGCTCAAAGCTCAGCGTCTCAGCTGGCTGGAAGCGGCTTGAGAAACAATTGCGGTCGAGTGCGTTGCTCGGCAACGGGAGATTGTTGTTGCGCGACGCGCAAATTTCTTCACTCTCCGTCTAGCCTTTATACGATTCAGACGAAAATAAACTATTATAAAAATTCAATCCATCAGTGTTTTCTTCGTAGCTCCAAATAATTTTTTATTTCAATCCCTCATTTACATTTTGGTGCCGAAACCCGGGAATCTAATCATCTTGTAATTCGTGTGGTGATTAATTGGTGAGGTGATAAAAAATTGAGCTACGGAGAAGGATAGTTCAGTTCATTATGGCAAATGTTGGACGTGTCGGGCCTATGCCCGTTCAAGCGGCGCCTCCAGCTCGTCGCAGAGGTAATGCTCGTGCTCCTGTTCCTGTCGCCGAGGACGTCGTGCCAGCCGCCGTCCAAGCTGCGCCTCCAGCTCGTCGCGGAGCCGCTCTTCCAGCTCGTCACAGAGGCGGCGCTCGAGCTCTCGCGCGTGTCGCCGAGGACGTCGCTCCACCCGCCGTCCAAGCGGAGCTTCCAGCTCGTCGTGGTGCTGCTCCTCCAGCTCGTCGTGGAGCCGCTCTTTCAGCTCGTTGCAGAGGCGGCGCGGGAGCTCCCGCGCGTGTCGCCGAGGACGTCGCACCAGCCGCCACCCAAGAGGCGCCTCCAGCTCGTGGCAGAGGTGGCGCCCGAGCCCCTGTTCTTGATGACGAGTTCGTCGCGCCGGTCGCCCTTCAAGTGGCGCCCCCAGTTGCCGAGTTTGCTGCGCCCCAGCTTTCGCCTATTCACCGAGGAGCGTCAAATGTTCCACATCGAGTAGCTGTCGACAACAGAGGGGTAGCCGTTCGCACTTACTCCGATGAGTATGATATTTCTGATTCAGAGGGAACTTCAGCTCAGGTATGTGAATTTGATGGCGAGGAAGCAGAGTTTGAACCAGACGAGGAGTCCGAAAGAATCGACGGGGCTCTCAACGTTCAAGATCGTCAAGATTATCGTCAAGATTTTAGATATAATGCCGCGAGCAATATTTTCAATTCGAATATTTTTGATAATTTTGCGGGTCCACGTAATAGCACCGAGTTGCAAGTAGATTCTGGGCGAAATAGCGGAGTAATTGATGTATCAAATACCGATCCGATCAATCGCTTAGCTGATTTTTATCGCGTACGATCGATAATAATTCCGCGGTTGTAAGCAGGTTAGCTTCGTCGAAGGCGTTACCGGTATTCAACGGTGATCCTTTTGAATGGAACCGTTTTAAACAAGCATTTAATTGTTTTTCTAAGCTTAATACTTTCTCTGAAGAAGAGACTTTGACGCGCCTTAGAGAATCGTTGCAGGGAGAAGCCGCGAACGCAGTAAAAACACTATTTATAGTTTCGTCCGACGTTAAGGAAATTATGAAAGTACTTGAGTTGCGCTTCGGGGACTCAAAATTATTGATTAATCAATTAATTCAGCAAATTCGAGATTTACCCGATTTAAACGTAGATTTTTCAAAGATTGTCAAGTTCGCAACGGAGCTCAATAATTCTGTGTCTTCCCTCGCAAAGTTGTCCAGTAATGGAAGTTGCTTATATCGCGATGATGTCGTTGAAAACGTGATAGATAAATTTTCGCGATCTATGTACGATAATTTCATTCGTTATTCTGCGCACAAAGCAAAAGTATTCCAGCGTTAGTAAAAATTTCAAAATTTGTATTAAAAGAAGCCGAATTGAATGTCGAGGCTGGAGTGTTAAAACAATCTACCGATAGCAATAGGAAAAGAGTACGTGAAGATGAACAGGTTTTCAACAATCAAATCGTCTAAAACGCTTCGAGACTATGTAAAGAGATGTTTTAAGTGTAAGAAAAGTTGACCATTTTCGAGTGTTTTGCCACATAAAATGTTAAATAACTCGAAAACTATCAACTTTAGAGAAAAATGTCAAGAGGCTTTTTCTCTTTAAAATGATCCAATTAACTTAGAAAATGTATTATCAGGGCAAAAATCATAAATTTTGACCATTTTTTTAAAAAATTGTTGAAACAATTTTGGGCACGTTTTTGGGCCTGGCAACATGCAAATTCGGATTCAGCGGGCAATTTATCACAGGGGTATGTAAAAAACTCGCCTAAAAAATTTTTTTGAGCATTGTGAAACTTGGGCCCGGACTAAGACTGTTTATTACATTGAGTTGTTCGAGTCTATCAAGGATTCATGTTTTTCAGAGTTATATTAGTTCTGTTTACAGTTGGCTTTACAAAAACGTTCAATCAAGAACAAGAATAAGCTCTTGTTCGTACTATCTTAGAAATGGAAACGAAGATGTTTCGACTTAATGGAACTTATGTGAGAAAGTTGGTGTATCAGTTTCTTGAGAAGATTGGAATCCGTCACAGATTTAATAAAAAAAAAAAAGAAATGGCGGGAAAAGATTGGATAAAGAGTTTCTTGAAAAGGCACAACCTATTTCATAGAAAAATAGAGCATACTTCTTCAGCGTGGTTCATAGGAATTTCAAAATCAGCAGTTAAACAAATTTTTACTCTCCTAAAAGGCTTAAAAGAAACGTTCACGCCAAATAGAATTTTTAATGTGGACGAGACTGGCGTCTCAGTGGTTCCAAAATCTTCTTCAAAAGTTATTGCAAAAAGAGGGAGAAAGCAAGTTAGAGAGTTGACGGCACAAGAGAGAGGTGAAAACGTACCACCGTAAAGATTTGTATGCCTCCCTAACTTGTCTTTCCCAGTGGATATATGCAGATAGACATCTTTACTATATGGTTGGAGAAATTTATAGTTCTCTCACGCCACCCCAGAAAATCCTGTTTTGCTGTTATTGGGTGGCCACTCAACTCACATTGAAAATTTTAAAAATTCTTGATTTTTTCATTCTTTTTTGTGTGTTGAAGACACCACACGTGAAGCTAACCCTATTGATTTACGTTTTTTAGTTTTTTCAAAACATAGGAAAAAACGATCCAAGAGGGAATTAGAGGAAGTGATGAAGAAATGGGAGAGAGATAACCGCCGCTATGACTAGACTTCCAGCGATGGTTCCAGTCGATCATCGGAGACTATTCCGAAGAAGAGGAGACGTTCTCGTAGCCGAGACAGATCAGCTTCTTTAGATCGGGATGAAAGCGGTAAGAGGAGTTGAGGGGACATGTTTTACACATGAATATGAAAGCCTGTCTCTCCTTTGCTCGCAGACCTATTCTGTCGAGTATGCTTCACACTATCGAAACAATAGGCGGCACTTTTGCACAATCGTGCATTGTAACAAAATCAGATACTAGGCGCTATCCCAGTTTTCTGATCGCAAGTATTTATTGCGTAATGATGTAGCAATTTTATCGTACGATAATTATAACCTCAAAACGAGTCAAACACATTGTGCGCAGCACAGAGCCTATATGATTTGACGATAATGCAGGATGCATTTATCGCCCGAGCTCGAGTGGGAATATAACCTCGACGGTGTTGAGTCGTAGTACTCAAGTCTGGTGCATCGCTTTACAAGGTATTTGTCTTTTCTATAGAAAAGACATATATGTCCGGAGGAGATCAAGATCATGGTCGAGAGATGCATCTGTATCGTCGACGTCGCCTCCTAAAGAGAAGAGACCGCGCCAGACGTCAAAAAGTCAAGAGCCTATTGAGCCTGAAGACAAGAGCAAGGACAACCAGACGTATGACAACGCTGCTGGCGATCCAACACTGACTCAGCAAGGGCGTAATGACATCACTACTGTTGGGGAAGGATCGGAGAAACCCAAAGGTCCTTCCTCCAATGAAATTAAGTTACCCGAAGAGGTGATTATCCTTGAGAGGGTATTGAATGTCATTGGCTAAAGCTTAAAGGTTGTAGCAGTGACTCCGTCTGCTACAAGGGCTCGCAGCCCTCACATAATACCCTGGCTTGGCGATGTCCCTCTTAGCGCACAAAGAAGACACACGAAGACACCAGCGACTAATAACAACTACAAGGACAACAATAAGCAGACGATACGTCATACTTACCTGCTCACGATCACATGACATCCGACATACGCCAACCACATATACACTTGTTATGACCCAGCCACGAGAACGGAGTCTCGTCGCTTCGTTCCCTACTGGTGTGCGTAGTTGCTTATTCCTTGGGTGGGGTTGCTCCTCGATGAACGCGTAGAAACGCGAAGAAGCTGCTGCGTCTCTCCCCGGTGATGATGTGCCTCCAAAGGTGGAAAATAATGACCTCAATGAGGTGGGCCGACGTTGCCTCAACTCTCGCGAGGAGGGCTTACGTCGGGGGAGGTCACGTTAACGAGTGCAACGGCCTCGTTGCTACTCGTTGTGCAAGTGCTCCGCTCGTTCAAATTGCAAGTCGGAGCTTGCGAGGGACGGTCGGTGACCTGCGAGTCGCGAGACTCCGTGACGCGACTCTTTCCTCTTGACGATCTTGCTCGTTCCGAGAGTCAAATGGACATCCGTCCAAGTTGATACCCGAACACGAGGTTGACTGAAGAGAGGGGAAGAGAGATTATCGGCACTGAACAGTCAGAGTCTCGCCCCGGCATATTCTCCCGTGCGCGATGCAATGGCAATGAGCGACTGTGATAATCTCGTTCGAAAGACTATGCCCTGTAGTTAATTCAGGGACTAAGTCCGCTAGTTAACTCAGAGATTAAGTTCAGTTATCACTCCAGAGATTAAGTTCGATTATCGCTGCTGAGACTAAGTTCAACTTATTACTTTGGTTGGGCAGAGCTTTGGTGGTGCTCGGTTGGTCTTCGAAAAACGAATGCAATGCGGCTCGGATGCTCCTCTCCTTTTATACTCGCGGTCTGGGGCGAAAGGTGGGGGAGAAAGTGAAAGAGAGGAAAAGAAAAGAGAGAGAAAGAAAAGAAAAGAAAGACACGTGCCGCGGCGGCTCTGCTGCTTTGATCTGCGACTTGCCGGTCAGCCGATCTTACGTGCCACGATTGTCGGCCTTATTACCTTGATCTATGACTCGCGGGTCAACCTATCCTTGGCTTTCTTGTCGACACGCGCTACCGTGAATCCGATCGTCGGCCTTGCCGACTTGAGGGCACGTGGTGCGCGAGTTCGATTGTCGGCTTTATTGCCTTGATCTCTGACTCGCGGGTCAGCAGATTTCCGAGAAGCGGGGGCAGGTCGCGGCAGTAGTCCGTTTCGCTGGTCTGAACCTGCATTGTTGTTGTTAGGTGGGCTTTCGTAGATAGGCTTGCTTGCGGTGGCCGTTGCTCCGATCACGCGATACATATAAGTTAGTTGTTGTTTCAAGGAGCTGTGCGTCGCTCAACCTTGTTACCTTCGAGCATTGCGTCGCTCGACGGGAGGACCTTTTGTAGCCTTGAGGGAGCTGTGCATCGCTCAACCTCGCCATTCTCGAGCATTGGTCAGCCTTGAAGCTTGTTCTTACAGTCCTAGCGCGCTGTCTCAAGAACGGAGGAACACACTTTCCGGACGCTCCGGCAGATGGCGCTGCTGCTCAGGGCCGGCTCATTACAGCACCTTCCCCGAGAAAAAGGTGTGATCTAGTGATCGCACTCTTTTCCTTCCTTTTATGTCCCTTCATTTGTTTTTATTATTTTATTATTATTATTTTTTTTTATATTGGGATAGGGGATCAACATTCATACATATGAGTCCTTTTATTCTCTTTTTTATTTTTATTTTTATTGATTTAACAAATTTTGGCGCAAGGGCGTAATACAAAAATAATAACATGTATGGGTTCTTTTCGATGCGCAACGGCGCGATACAAACCAATATATCTCTTTCCATACAATGTGCAACGGCGCGGCGACCAGCGATGGCCAGAATCTATTTTAATTGGTGCCACGACGCGATACGGAAAAAAAATGCAACGGCGTTATGAAAAATAATGTATTATTATTTTTTTTTATGCGCAACGGTGCGGTGATCAGCGAGGTCCAAAATCTATTTTAATTGGTGCCACGACGCCATACAGAAAAAAAGCAAAGGCGTTATGCAGAATAATGTATGTTTCCTTTTTTTTTTTTATGAAACGCGATAGCGCGCTACAAAATAGTATATGTATATTTTCGAACAGAGCGTGACAGCGTAATACCTGCGATTACTCGGAGTTGAACACCATGCCTTCTTCTACGTCGTCCTCGTTGAGAAGGACGACCAGTGTGCAGAGTTCGCATTTTTCCGCTGGTCGTCTGCTGCGCCCA